TGAATTATGAAAATCTCTTGAACCCTATGGTTAAACGCGCTCGTGTTTTACGATTTTCATTCTTCTAGTACATATTTTAACAAAAATAATAGCAGATTCGTGATCTCCATCAACTGCGTTGAACAATCTTTCTCTCGGAATTTTTAGACAACTTTGATTTTTGTGCAAAAATCTCGGCAAAAAAATTGGAAAAAAATCAGAGTTGTCTAAAAATTCCGAGAGAAAGATCGTTCAATGCAGTTTTTAACGGTGATACCAAATATGATGTTGGTTTTGAGAAAAAATTGAAATTTGATGGTGGAAACTGCAAAATATGAGTGCATTTCCTTGATTTTTCTCGTATTTACATTATAATGGCACATTTCCTTGTTTACGTTTGCATATCTTTGTTTTATTATAATTTACTTTCAAAAATTGTCTCAGATTTATAATCAGTTTATAGACTTGATCTGTACGTGATAGATACTAAGAAACATTACTAAGGAAAGGACAGAAAAGATTATATCTATGCACTTTTCTTCATAATTTATACGTTTCTGGTTTTTGGTGGGTAAATATATCTACTTTTAACTGAAATATAACTTTTGATAAGCACAATCAGGTCGACTTCGATAGAGCACGTCATCGAAGTTAAAACTTCCATGAGGTATGTTTATAGAAGTTATAACTTCGATAAACATGCTAACTTCGATACGACATATATGTTCCCAATTAGGCCTGTAAAAGTTCAGTGTTCCTTTTTAGCGTGCTCTTTAAACATGAACGCTAAATACGTTTGCGTTCCTTGAACGTGAACGCTAAACATGACGTTTTCTGAACGTGAACGCGAATGTTCTGGCGAACGTTAACGTTATTTTATATGAACGGTGTTGATCTTGTGTGGAATGAATAGTATTGCAAAAAGTTATACAACAATTTCATCTAGTAGTATACCAAGTGAAACCGCTTTCTCCGTTATCAGTTATATTTAATGAAATATCAATGCCGGAAAAACTAGTCTTCTGGTCAGGAAATCCTCGATCTGTTCTTGGAAAAATCAATGTCTTGGTCAGAGAATCAAGAAATATCCTTTTTATATTGCAATAATCTGATCACTACCGTGAGCAGACCATCTGATCCTTCACTAGAGTTTCGATTGATCAGATGTGACCAAGCAGAAATATATATGTTTTTACTACAGTACTAGAACAGAAGTTTATATTTACGTCAGACGATATGAACAGCGTTCGTATAAAAAAAGGTCACATCCTCCAGTGCTTTAACGTTCATCTTCAAGGAATGCGAATGTATTTAACGTTCAACCTTCAAAGAACGAAACGTGAACTTTTGCAGGCCTATTCCCAATAACATTTTAATACTGAAAGAAGTCACGATAGGTGTTCTTGTTTAAAGGGAAATATATCATATAACTCTTATATTCCCGTCTTTATATTCACAACATCAAACAACTGAACAATTTACGTCTATTACATGAGGTGGCGACAGTTACTCAAGTTAAGGAAGAGACAGACGAATTGTGATCTCTGATCATTTTCCAGTTAGGATATAGGTGAACGTTGCAACTAATTAAAAGAGACAGTTCACGTACTTTATCTCTTGAAAGAACAAGCTATAAAGTCTGAGTGGTTACATTTTTGATAAACGTAATCCTCATTGACTGTTATTGCGTATGGCATGTTTCAATCTGACATTTGAAAGCATTGTCTTTCTAGAAGACTTCTAGAAAAACAAGCTTTTGTATTTTGATCAAAAGAATAATAGGTCTTCAGCGAAATTTAGATATACAATCCCCTCTGTGAACTTAAGACCAACTCTTATTTGTATTTCCAGCAGTTATATCATTAATACCAAAGCAAATTAAATTTAGTTGCGAAATTGTTTTTATCTACTATGGAAACATAAATAGTGTTATTATTTTGATTGAATGCTATTTTAGAAAAATGAATTTTATCGTTTGTAACTTACACAAAATAATTTTAATAAATTACCAAAAGCAATTTTATATATAATGGCTCCACATCTGATAGAGTACAGACATACTGCGCACCTAAAACCGTTAAGTTTTGATTACCTTTGGAAAAGCCCTAAATGCCCATTATCACCTCAAAGCTACCAAAATACGAAAAAATTAATTTAGGGCTTTTCTTGTAAATCTATATTTGCAAAGAAAGATCTTGTAGAGCTGGGAGATGTCACATTTTATTCAGAAATTTGAGGACTACGATCATCCTTCATTAACAAAATGCTTTAGTTACCTTTTAGAGGTTCTGAAAAACTGGTTTTCCAAAAAACTGCTCTCTGAAGGCTCCTGGGTAGCTACTACTATGATATTGGGATTCAGCATAGTTGATAACCTATAACCCACTAGGTTTAGCTGAAAAAGCAATGTGACAATTCGAGATTTATAGATGTACCATTAAGTCAACCTGTCATCGGCGTCGTACTTATCCCTCAATGTTATGATAGAGGTACGTTATGGTTCATGACTTTCATTCCCTCTGGTGTAAAAAAACGGAGCACACTGATGCTTCTTATTAAATTTTATTTTAGGGCAAGAACAATCATGCCGGAGAATCGTTAACAACAGCTTCAGAAGCGGCGACAACAAATATCGTTAAAGAAAAAAAATACTAAGTGGACAAAATAATCTTTTATTTTCGTGTTCTGACTTAAAACAACAAGAAAAACGTGAGTTCTACGCTACAGCTCAAATTAAGCATTACTTAAAATTTGTGTTCTTAATTCTTTTAATAATAATTCTAATTTATCATTTCCACCTAATAATTCAGCCAGACGTCGTCGAGTTTTCTCAATACATGCATTCCACATCGGTTTTTGTGATGAATATTTGATTTGTTCTAAAACAACAATGACAATACCTGATGATAACAATTTCTGATCCGTTGTATCTTGACACTTGAAAGATGGCAAGGGTTTTCCAGATAATTTTTCAATTTGTTCAGTTGTTAAGTCCCAAAGACCATCAAATTTTTGTAAATCAATTAAATAACGTACTACATCTTGTTCTGAAGTCGGCCATACCTCAGATGTTTTGGTTGCTGGTAGGTAAGTGGCCGATTCATCACTATATCTTGTACCTGAATAAGGAGTAGGAGCAGCCAGCATGTCTACTTCGTCAAATAGATCAGATTCTGATCCCAGAGTAGGCATTAGACTGCGTTTAGAACTTCTCCTCCTGCTAGTAGGTACTGACATCATAGTCCTTGAGTTCAAGGAACGTACACTACTTCCTGCAAAAAGCATCATATGATGGCCGCCACCAGACACTTGTAAATGTCGATCATCAGCTGATATCTGAATAGGTACTTCACGCAAGACCATGTCTGAATTATTTCCATTTGTTCGTTTCTCAACACCGACAAATGATGTATGAGGCGATAAAATATTATATTTTAATGATAAATCAATAATTTGTTTCGTGTTTTCATTCTTACTTTCTTGTGTTGCCTCAGACTGTTCTGTCTGTGACTGAAAACGTGTTTGCAGTGAACCTTTATTTTTGGATTGTGATTGTGCTTGTTTTGAATGTAATAATTCACGAATTAAAGCTTTAGCAGCAAGACGAACGATTGTTTGATCAGTTGATGTTTGTGGAATGTGATCAATTTTAGCCAATCCTAATTGAGTTTTGTTGCCTGACGAATACAGTTCAACTGTTGTGTTATGATCAAATTGCTGTTGTTGGGTATCACCATCAACCAGGCCATAAATAAGAAGACGATCATTTGCATAGACGGGTGGTGTTTTCAATGGAATTGTTTGGACTGGTTCCGGTAAATTCCATTTAATTTGACTGTCTATGATGCATGGTTGAAGAGCTTTAGCAAGTTGTTCAGCCACTTGAGTGTCAACACTTGATCCTGGTGGAATAAATACATATCGACCATTTGATGACCGTGCCAAGCCTTTAACTAGTGATCTTGAAGGAGCATGTCCCAAACCAAATGAAAAGATTCGAGATGATGTAGCCATTGAACGACACAGATCCATGACTTGATCAACATTTGATATTTCACCATCTGTCAACAAGAATATTTGACGTGAATGCCCGGGAGCGGGAGCTTGTTTGTCAAGCTGTTGCAGTGGTTGTAATAGTTCTGTGCCTCCTGTAACACGCGAAACAAGAGAAAAGATTACGTATGTATTAAAAAAGTAAAAGCGAAAGAACATCTAAGACACTTACCTAAATCAGCTTTCATTTGTTTAATTAATTTTTCAGCTTTTTCCACATTTTCTTCATTATAAATAGCTGTTGCCTCTTGTTCAAATAATATTTTGCAACCAGAACCAAATCGAATAATGTTGAATCGGCAACTCACCGGCAAACTTTTCAAGAACAAAAGCATTGCTTGACGAGCCAAATCAATTTTACTTTCATCTTGCATTGAACCACTGCAATCAACGACAAAGACGAATTCATTGTTGTTAACACTGTTCTGTTGTCCTTCTCCACTACCAAGTGCTTTTCGACAATCATCTTCCGACGGTGTAAATGATGTCATAATGGCTAATTGTTGTTGCTGATTCTTTTCAGTTACCAAGATGGTATTTGTTCGTATTTGAGCCAGTTCAATATCCAAAATAATATCACGATCCAAATGTGTTGACTGTTGACTTAATATAACTTCAAAATGATTTAGATTTGAAAAGTTGACATTGACAGGATGTGAAATGGACGAGACTTGTGTGACCTGTTGATTTAATTTATCAATTTGACATTTGAATTCAACTGTGTATGGTGCTGCTTGAACATATTGAGCTTTTGTTCCGGCTGGTGCTGATAAACCACCTTGATCAGGATTATAACGTGGTGCAATTGTTGTTGGAACAACAAAACGAATTTTATTTCCGTTAATTAAATCTAATTCAGTGACGTAACCAATTTGTATTTCACAATGTTTTCCGGCTGGCAAAGCACCAACGTTTATAATAAACATGTCTTGCGACTTTTCGTCTTGTTCCAACAGATATGCACCATTTCCATGCTGCAAAGCTTCGCCGTATTCACGTTGTGCTTCTTTTTTTTCTTTCAATTGTGCAACGATTTCCCGATCATCAATTTTGGCAGTGAATGAATAAATAGCAGCATTTTCTTCAATAGGGAAAGAATAAACGGCTTCAATCGACATTTGTTCATCATTTTGAAACAGTTGTGTGATGGTTACATCGGCTGCAAATGATCGAAGTTTACTGTTAATTTTAACTTGTTTTAATGGAACATTTTTTAGCGGTGTTGATGTTGCTGTTAAAAGACTGTCGCTGGGTAATTTAATTCGAAGCATATTTGCGCGCGAGAAATGAACCGAGAATAGCTAAACAAAAGAAAAAAGATTTATATATATATATAAGCCCTTTGTGTGATGAATAATAACGTATGTTTAGTGACGCACAACTGTATGATGGTATTCTATTCATATGCAGTGAATGAGAAAAAAAAGAAAGAGTAAGATTTTTATAATAACCATATCAAAGATAAACATAGAATGAAAACAAAAAAATTGGCAAATTGTGGTGAAGCAGCGTTAATAAACCTCATATTTACTAACTTTTTGATAAAAAAGAAAAATAAGACCTCGATGAAGAAAACGTTTGACAGAACTGAGCATAAATGTACCAAACTAAACTCTGCATCTTTCTGCTCTAGCTGCTCTCTCGTACAACTCGATGCTCTCTGTGAGAAACAGCACATTCCCTTTTCCTGCATCAGGATTAGTTTCTCTAGATTTATAAAAGCTTGATTTTCATCCAGTCTGTTCAACAGTACGCTTTAAAAGATGTGCTTTCTTCCAAAAAGGTCCGTTTGTTATTAATCAACTCTTTTTTAATCCATAAATTTCTTTGGTAGCTTTTATCAATGAAGTACCCATGGTCACATTGGTGCAGGCCTAAGTTTCTTTTTATGTTGAATTTCTGACTATAACGGACTACAGAGGTACATTTGAAGGATTCTTTTTATTAGCAGTTAGAGAAGAAAATGAAGTTTTAAACTTCTCTAGCATTCATAGTTCGACACTGTATTCATTGTTAAATATCTTCAACTCTTTTCTGACCAGTATCAGTTTCGGTATCTGTGAGAAGTCCTCCTTTTCTCTCTTCCACTGTCATATTTCCTATCGCATATTGTGTAATTTTTACATTCTCAGTTAAATCAAATAAGAGATAGAAGAGAACAAATCAAAAAATAGTATTGTTCTTATTATTATTACACGCATTGTATGTAACAGTGATTAGAAAGGAAAGAAAGGGAACGGTATTATCTTCTTTTTTTTCCTCTCTTTTATTTATACATTATGTTTTTATACATTCTTTAATTACTGTTATTGTTTGCTTCTTATTATTATTATTCATACGGTATAAGAATTGTCTCCTTTACCTCATTATAACAGGAGAGTGACTTAATTTGTGAAAACTGACTGCATAAATTTTGTATGTAACGAAAGGGAGCGCGGTTTTCATAACGATGGAAATAAAATAAACAGATGTGCTTTATATTAGTTGGATTATTTGATGACGGGTTCAGTGGAATCTCTAAGAAACTTGTTAGCGTCAAACCTTTGCTTTACTATCAAAGCCCAACATCTTCGGAACGTACAAAGGGGAGAAATATATCCAAATTTATTTACCCTTTACTGTAAATGTAGTTTTATAAAAAGTGACAAAATCTTGGCAAACCAAATCTTTTTTTCGCTCAAGAAGACGCTACCTATCTTATTAACATTTAGGTATTTCATGGTACGAAAGAAAATAAAATAAAAGAACGATAAGCGAATGGGAAAATGCTGATCTTCAAATCTTTTTTTTCTAATCCACTAACTATTCCTTATGTGTTCTAGAGTAATAATGCGTAGATAATTCTCATTAATTAAAGAATTTATCGCTGTGAAATACGAAACTTTTTTTTTATTTTGTATGAGTTTGATACTTGAACACAGCTCCTAACGTGCTCTATTGCATCAGTAATTATAATCGAAAAATTGATTGTATTATGATAAGAAACGGGCATTCTTCTTTCTTTCTTTCCAAAGATTATCACAATTTTATTTCAATAATTTTGGATCAGGAAGCGAAAAAGGAGAAGAAAGGATCTGATTCTCGATAGCATTCTGAATAGTGAATGAACAGAAAGTTTAGTTCGTTTCGAACGAAACAACAGCTAAAAATATCTGTATTCTTTCAATTTCAAACAATAGGAGAATGATCATTATTGTTTGTTAATTTTCACCTGCTAAGTTATTGCACATTTTCACTAACTATTCTTTCTACAACTGCAACTGTGATTTTTTACATGGACTGTTTCATTTGCAACAATATTAATCTGATAAGGACCGAGAAACCTCATAAGATAGGCAGTAAATCCGTAAAAAACTAGATAAAAACCAGAAACTTATAAATTATGAACGGAAAAGCCGGATGAGGTTGCTGGTTCGAGGATAAAAAATTGCTTGTAACGAGTTTCCTACCACACCTCTTCTGGTTAATAGTGCTGTTAGATGATGCTTCAGACCTTCAGAAAGAAAAAATTCTATTACCTTAGTACACCGAAGTGAAAAACAGCAAGTTAAAATTACGAAAATTCTAATTCTGGTCAAATTGTCACAAAAAGAAAGGGAGTGAGACACTAGTATCGTTTTTAGAACAAACTGCTCTGAACTTACGTTTACTCACAAGAATAAAAGTACTTTGTATAGTGTAATACTCCCAATCAGTCACCCTCACATAATGAAGATTAACTTTGATCGCAGCTGAACTCAGCTACAGATATACTCTCAACGAGGAGGGATATAAAGTATATTGAACACAGACAAACGCGTGATTAAAAACTAATCTCCTGTCATCTAGAAAAAAAGGCAAGATATGCAGTATGAAATGAAGGTGTACTCGAAGATTTTTGATGAAATGAGTCGGACAGTGCCTCGGCATACAGCAAGAACAACTAACAGTTCCACCTGCTCGATAGAGCACAAAAATCAACTTATGATCGCGAAACGGTGTAGTGGAACAGCAGAATGAGGGTGACTGGACTTGATTGAGAATACGCCCTTTTGCGGAAATGAAAACTTGTCAACTTTGATCAATGTCAATAAAAGGTTTATAAACCATTGGGACGCTGGTAATGTCTTCAAATATCAACGGCATGCGAATCCACACACGTACGCTCGACTTACTTGCTTCTGCCTTCAACATCAATTGTAAAAATCCCTACAAAGAACGAGAAAAAAGAAAATCACAGAGTACCGACGTTTTCAGCAAAAACGCACAAACTCAGTACTTATCTAATTCACTTCATATTTTCTTTATAAATCATGCAAGACTATACAATAACCTAAACAGGAAATAACAACGTGAGAAAAGATGAATTATCTATCCCTAAAGGCGAAACAACGAAAATACCGAAGTTTTATCACTTTTATTCTACTCACACTTTAATCAAAAAGTGTAAGACTGTAACAGAAAATGCATGTTTACTATTGAAATCCAAAAAGCACACTCTGTGTTGGATCTGGACTGCCTCAAACACTACACAATAATAATAATAATTTTCAAAGAAGAGAACAAGTATATTTTAAATGAAAGCGAGCTAGGAAGTTCAGAGAGAAGCCGCATCAGACATTCCTGTTAATCCTGTTTTAATTTGCATCACAAAGTCAACTGGAAAGCGAAAGTGACTGAATCAGAGTACACCGCGCTTTCTAAAATTTTGGCAGCAAGATATGCAGCAGACGGGATATCTAAAGTTGGAGAGGGACGAGATTGTGCTAACGCTCCTGTTACAGATCTTTTTACGCAAAAGCGAGTTGCATTTAGGCAACCTCGACTGTAGTTCTCTGTTAAATGATATAAAGAGAGTCACTTACATTGAATTAGGATGATTGAAGGTCGTATAGGTGTAGTACAGTGATTGAAGAGGAATGTGACAATGATCGACGGTTGAACACGTCTAAAATACGTACAGACAAAAGAAGAAAATGTTAGTTATAAGTTAACAATCATTTCTTCATTTTATTTAGCAGTTAGATAGTCAGTAATTTTGGTCACATTCGTTTGACACATCGATGTGGACTACCGGAAATTGTTCACAAGATTTCAGTTTTATACGGAGTTCAATTCACATTTATATGTCTTTCTACGTGCATCATCTGTTAACATGATCCTTTTCTTTTTTTACTTATCGAACACTGAATGAAGCATCCTACATTGTTCTTTGTTTTGTGCATATAACAAAGAATGACAATGAAATATATGAACAACGAAAGAAAAGATGCTAAAAGAAAAAAAAGAGAGAAGAAGAAGAAGAAACATTGTTTGTTCACACTAGAAAATTCACTTCTTGATCGGACGTGTTTTTCTCTTCTCCTCTTACACTTATATACATACATAGTACGTAATTCTTATCCGTACTTTCTCTTTGTCTGGTACCACGTGGGTACACGTGACCATCAAAAAATATTATAAAAAAAAAAAAATATTATTTTTGTCAGCTATTTTTATTGAATAATCAGTTGATATTATGTCAACTAATTATCAAAATCACCATGTTAATGCAAATATGTATCCTAATAATCGCCAAAACTCTTATTCAACAGCTCACATTGTAAGTAACTCATTGGATTTAGTTAACGATTATGTTTATGATCCTAATACACAAATTCATTATAATATGTATCGAAACGTTGGCCAAAATCGTGTTCCCACACCGTCTGCTACCAATTTAATGCCTGTGAACTCACCAGCAAGATCGGTCCGTCGTATGCACTCAGGAGATTCTGAAGAAGACGATTTCACAACGGTCTTACATAAGAAAAAAAGAAATAGTAATCGTTCTAACAATTATCAACAGCAACGTCAACAACAGAATGATTTTCACACTTCCCCCTCTAATCAATCAAATCAACCGTTTAGTCAACGTACGGCAACAAATTTAAATCTAAACCAACAGAACTATTAACAAAATCAGAATATATCAATAGAAGCAACACGGTACGCGCTAACACGGTTCCCTTTTCAACCGTTTATTATTCGTTTTTCATCCGGAAACGTCCCGGATAAACAAGCGGCTGAAGAAGTGTTATTACATTATAAACATAATCACCAAATGGATATCCTAATTAACAATTATCGCTCGTCAACATTGAAATGTGGAGCTAATGAGTATGATATTCTTTTATATGTTAAGGATGTAAATTCGTTCACATTTTTATTCGGCAAACAAAAATGGCCACTTCAAATTGGTGGAGAAAATTTTATTTTTCCCTCAACACCGTCAATTCCTCCACAACTTGCCCTCATTATCAAAAATGTTGATCTTAGGGTCGACATAAACGAACTATCAGGGGATTTAAAAGCACTTTTTCCAGAAATTTATAACGTGGTGAGATTAAAAAATAAATTTCAACAGGATATTAGAATGGTTAAAGTGGAATTTGTATCGGCTACGATCCGTGATGATATCTTAAACAGTGGTAAAATTAATGTTAATTTTAGAAGTTATGATATTGAAGAATATCTTGCGCCAGCATGTGTTTTGATTTGCTCAAGATGTATGGGAACAGGGCATTTCAAAAAGCAATGTACTCAATTAAATGAAACATGTAAAATTTGTGGACAATCTTCTCTCGATCTAAAACAACACATTTGTACAATGCAACCAAAATGTGTTCACTGTGCTGGGAATCAT